TCTTTTTTATGTGAGACAGGATTTCTCTGTGTTGGCCTAGCTGTCCTGGAAGTCATTTTGTAGATCAGGCTTCCTCAAACTCAAGAGATCCTCCTGCCTCTGCCTCCCAAGAACCAGACTAAAAGCGTGCACAACCATTGGTTTTGCTTCTTACTGCTATGTCACAAACCAAGTTTCAATTAAAGCTGACAGTCTCCTCTTGAGATCCTGGACAGATGCAGAGTTTGTTTTCACTTATGTAAACAACCTTTAGACTCATAAATGTAACCATCTCTGTTTCAAACCCAGGGCATAGTGCTGTCTGCATTTACCACATAGACTTCCTCATATCAAAATAAGAAAGTGCAGTTACTGTTAATTAATGACTACTCCAAGAATGTTTGGGAATCCTGAAGGAAACAGGTATATAAACACTAAAGGTAGCAAGAGGCATTTTGCTATTTTACTATGGTTCATCAAGAGTTCCTTGTATACATTGCTTTAAGAACTTTGCAGAGGGCCAGGCATGGTGTCACATGTTTTTAATCCCAGCCCTTGGAAAGTAGAGACAGATGAATTTCTTTAAGTTCCAGGCCAGCTTATTCTACAGAGTTCTAGTCATGGCTATACAGACCCTGTCACAACACCCCGGACACTCCCCCAAAGAATATTCCAGGAGGAGTTGAGTATTTGTTTAACATATGGAAGGCCATGGGTTCAACACCCAGTACTGGGAGGGAAAAAAAGATTTTCTAGGCAAAAATAAAGCAAAGCCTAGAAATCCTATTAACTGAATCTTCAACAATCATCATTGATACTCTTTTTATCATTGTGGAAATTAAAAGATATAATCTGTGTAGCATATATAATGTTCAAACTAAAACATTAGAAGCTTTACAGTCAAAATTCAATTTAAAAATAGATTGAGGAGGTGTCCAGAAAACATTAGTCCTTACTTGGAAGCTATTAGCAGCTGATAGTTGCTTTGCTGGAGGAGTGTTATATAGAGTGTTTATTTCTCTGAGAATAAAACCTCCCATTTTGGAAAGAAGTTTCTTAAGACATAGGATGTTAAACAGGAAGATGAAACATTCCATCCCACAGGAAATGAAAAGCCATTAAAACAGGAAGTGAACAACTTGATGGCTTCAGGAAGTCCCCCAAATTGACTAGATTCACTAGGCTGCTCCCTCCCCAAGAATATATAAGCAATAAGGACTGAGAGACTTGCTCAGACAAGCCAAGCTGCCTGGAAGAATCAGAGACAAGCTAACTTTACCAGGAAAGGATACTCCCCAACCTACTAAGCTGCCTACACTACAGTTTTCCAGCTTCCATGATCTGTCACCCGTGCTGGGTTGGTTTGGTGATGCAGCTGTCTTTGAGTCATTCCTGCTCCTGTAAGTAACCCCAATCAAATTCACTGGTTCATCAAGTTGGCATCTGTACTTTGGTGTGTCATCAGTTCCCTATCTGTGGTGTGTAGACATTTATTCATATCTCCCTAGATAGAGTGTCACACATAGACAGGAAGAATAATTTTTTAGGGTATTACCCTGGTAGGTTTTCTCTACTCTAGTGAATAGCCCCAAACCATGTACAACTGGACAGTATTAACTGGATTATCAAAAGTTGGAGGGTCATGAAATTTGGAGGGAGAAAGGGGGAATAAGAAAAGAGAAATAGAGGGGGCATATATTCATATTTCATTGTATACATGTGTAAAATTCTCAAAAATAGGGGTAAATTATATTAAAAATAGTAGGATCTTTGAATACATTATCTACTAAGTTCACAGTCCATACTTTTAACTGACTTCTAGACCCATCTATTTGAATGTCCAAAAGACACCTGAAACTTTTCTCTCTTTTGTAAATATACACTACTACTGTAAAGCTGGTAATACCCTCCAGCCATGTAGACATCAAAAATCCTAAGAGTTGTTATGCTATTAACAATAACCATTGAGGAATAGCTATTTTGCACTAAAAGTTATTCCAGCTATATCATTTGTATTATGCCCAATCCCCACCCTCCAAAACCTCACAAAATAGATATTATTCTAAAGAACTATGAAGCCAAGAATTCTATTTAATTGCACTATGGCTTTCTCCAACTAATTTGTGCACTGAGCATTGTTTCCACCTTGACTTTCGGTAAGCCAACAGTACTGTCTGACATCTTGGGATGCTTCTTGATTTTTTAAACTGTTTTTCAATAAACTGTATTAGCTGCACCCGTTGGCCAGAATCAGATCAGTGACTTATACCTAAAGATGAGTAGTGAAAAAGGTATTCACTTCAGGCTGTCTACACTTAGTCAAAATTCTTTGTTCTCACAGACTGATTCATTGAAATCGCATTTCCTTTGGGATCAATTATTTATGAGGATTCATCTATCAAAATAATATGCTTAAACAGCAGGGAAGATGGTGGATCATCATTATTTAACATTTTCTCTAAGACTGCACAGACAGGATACTCCTGAGTTACTGTTCCAATGAGATAGCAGAAAGGGCACATTAACTGAGCACCAGCCAGGCACTGGAATACTCAGAGGGACTGCAAGAACATCTTGTAAGAATGACCTTGCAGGCCCAGTGTGGAGGTGCATGCCTACATAATCCCAGCTCCACAGCTGGAGGCAGGGGCATTGAGAGTTTGATGGCAGCTTAATATACTTAGGGGAAACAAAGGCCATCCTGGGATATACAGATAGTCTCTGTCTCAAAAACAATTTCCTTCTCTAGAATCTTACAACCTTTAGTTATGACTAAACAAATATTAGGATTCTAGCAAAGGGGATCAAAATTATCTTGACAAAACACTAAAACTATCAGAAGTAAGAAAATGGTTATCAAATGTATAGTAGAAGGAGCTATAGCTAAAAAGTACTAAAGAAGACAGATATTTTGGGGAAAATGCATTTTTTAAATACACTAGGTAAGGACTGAAGAGATGGCTCAGGCTCTGTGTTTAAGAATACTTTCTGCTCTTGCAGAGAACTCAGTTTGGTTCCCAGCACCCATGGCTTCTCACAACCATCTGTAATTCTATTTCCACAGGATATGATGCTCTCTGTAGCCTTCACAGGCACCAGGCATACATGTGGTGCACTTGCATGCATGCAATCAAAACATTCATACACAAAATTAATATTTAATATTTTTAAGTTTAAAATATATAAGTAGAAATACTCCCAAAGAGATTCTTTAAGTCTGCTTTATAAACCTGTATTATTCATTTGTGGGAAGCTTTCTAAAATGTTTCACAAGATATATCAGTAAGTAATTCAGGTAACACAGGGAGCTCAGCAGAACAGAAAAACACAGAGAGTTGTCTCTGCCATCTGTGGAAAGGTTAGCCATAATTAAGTGTGCTGTGAGAAGCAGACAGAAACACCAAATATGAGGAATACTATAGGAATTAAAATGCTATGGGCACAGGGGAACAAGACGACCTAAGCAAGCCCAACAACAATCTGAAAAAATGGTTATCCATGACATCCTAAAAGCCAACAGAAAGTATCTATGCCAAAGAGAAGAAATTCCTCATGAAACCAATAAATGCACATTCCAGCTTTTTCCCTTAGCAATCATTGGGGATAGGATTATTCATGTAAGAATTGATTGGGAAGCTGGGGACACAGCTTAGCTGGTAGAGTGCTTGCCTAGCAAACACGCAGCTCTGAGTTATGTCCTTAGCACCCCATAAACCAGGTGTGGTGGCACATGCCTGTGATCCCAGAAAGTGGAGGCAGGAGAATCCTATGCCCTCTCAAATTCTGAGGGCACCAGGCATGAATGTGGTACACATACTACATACAGGCAAAACATATCATAAAATATAATAAGTGAATCTCTAAAAGAAATGTAAAAGCAGATAAATGTTAAGAAGTGTATGAATATGCATTCAACATCACTAATCATCAATGAAATGCAAATTAAACCCACAGTCAACTATCACTTGACATCTGTGAAAATGGATATCCTAGGAATGATGAGACATTTTGTTTGGGATATGAATGAAAAGGAAATTCCCCAATGATGGAAGCAAGGGAAATTAATAAAGCCAGTATAGAGAACAATGTGAAGGGTCCTAAAAAAATTAAAACTAAACATCTGTTAATCTCACTACTGAGTATGGCTCCAAAGAAAATGAAATCAGTCTGTCAAACAGGTACCACTGTAAGTCTGTCAAATAGATTCACAATACACAAGATACAGAATCAAACAGAATGTCTGTAACAAATGAATTAATGAAGATACACATTGGGATACTATTTGGCCTTAATGATGGAGGTTACCCTGTCATTGTAAAACCCTGACTGACCATGGAAGACAATGTATTAAGTGAAACAGCCAAACATAGAAAGGTAAGTACTGTGTGGAATCTCACCAATGTGTGCATCTTAAATAGTCAAACTCAGTGCAAACAGCAGAATAGAAGTTACTAGGGGCTAGAAAACTTGGTGCAAGATTAGGAGATACCTGTCATATAATGCAGAATTTCAACTAGATAAGGAGTCCTAGAGACCTGCTGTGTACCAGTGACTACAGCTAATGAAAACATATTTTTAATTATTTAATTATTTACATACTTAAGATTTAAGTATGAATGTATATATGAACATGAATGCAGTTGCTCTGCCCAAAGAAGCCAAAATAGAATGTTGAATCCCCAGAAACCGAAGTAACAGACAGTTATGAGCTGCCCAATGTGGGTGCTAGGAACTGAAACCACTAAGCCAGCTCTCCATTCTCCAACATATTATATTCTTAAAATTGCTAAGAGATGGGTTTCAGTGTTCTTGTCAAAAATAACTGATAATATATACTTCAGTCAGCTCAAATAATTGCCAAATATAATTGGTAATATATATATGAATTTGTTCCATTTAACAATTTCCTGGTTTATACATGTTCTGTATGATAAACTAATACAACTCACGTCAATTACAAAATTTTTAAAAATTACAAAGAGACAAAATACAAATTGTATTTAAAATAAAAGTTTACATACCTTGGCTTCCGAAATGCCAAACTGTATTGCTGGCATGCAAGACCCACAGTGGGAGTATATACGATAGGCATAAATTTTTCAATATTAGACATCAGCACACTATAAAAGAGCTTCTCATTTCTATCTTGCAGATCCATCAACAGAAGATACCTGTGGAAATTGGATGCAATTAGATCTATATCCAACAGTCAAAATTCAATAGTAAAAATGGCTACTAGGAATCTAATTTCAACCAAGTATAAAGTACATCTTTAGTCAAGTAGAAAGCATAAATAATCAAGCCAGGCATGGTGGCATGTGCCTCTAATCCTAATACTTGGGCAACTCAGGCAGGATTGAATATGAGGACAGTTTTAGCTACACAGTGAGGCCCTGTCTTTAAAAAAATGGCAACAATCTGTAGACATAGACTTTAAGGGGCTGGGGAGATGGCTCAGTGGGGAAACAGGCCAGGTGCAAACACGAGGACCTGAGTTTGGATCTCTGGCATCAATGAGAAACCTGGGCTCAGTGGTCCATATCTATAACCCAGTGCTGGGGTTACAAACAAGTAGATCCCCAGAGCTCAGTAGCCATCCAGGTTAGTCAATCAGTTTGCTCTAGGGTCAGTGAGAGACCCTGTCTCAGAAAATAAGGTGAAGGATTAGAGAGAAAGATATCCAATGTCAACCCTTGACCTCTACAAGTGCAAGCATGTGCATGCACACAGGCACAAATGTATACATACAAAAAAGCAGCATGTCAAAGAACAAGGAAACACAAATTGGATTGCTACCATTCAAACATTACCATTATATAACATTACTACAATGTTGTTCAGTACTTGAGACAGACATAGTCCCTATTTTATAAAGAGGTAAAAATATCACAGTAGAGTTTAACCACTAACTTAAGGAAACTAATGGCCCTTCTTTCCTTCCTTCCTTTCTTTTTTTGAGACACTGTCACTGTGCAGTCGTGGATGGCCTAGAACTCACTGTATAGACCAGACTGACATAGATCCACCTGCCTCTGCCTCCTGAATGCTGGAATTAAATAAATGCAACTCACAGCCAGCTCTTAATGACCTTTCTCTGTGTAGAGGCATTTCTTGTCTACCTTTCTATGAATAACCCTTTTTGTATTACCTATACCTTCAATAAAATTTAAACTACTGTGGACAACTAACAAGTCTTGAAAAACTGTGTTCAGTAACATAACAAGGCCCTTTGCACTGATCTCTGGTGTAGGTTAGACATCACTTAAGTGTGTGATTGTGTGCAGGGAGCTCAGTCTCCAATGTGCCATCTGGAACAGGACTAGGAACTTCAAGAGGTGACATTAGCAGAAGGCAGGTCACTGGAAAAACTGTCCTCAAGCAGGACTAACACAGTTCCCATGAGTGTTTCTTTCAAAGGAAACTTGTTTAATGAGATGGCTACCCTTCCAGCCATCATATCCCAGCCTGCTGTCATATGGATGGAAACTGTGCCCTGTAGGAAGCACTACAAGGCCCAGACTGTTCAGGGCTGAAAGCCTGCATCACTCCACCAGGAGGAGGCAGTAAGGAACACCAGTAAAGACCAATGATCAGTTTCAGAAATAAGGACAGAAATTTTTTTGGATATTTCTTCCTTCTTTTGTTAAGAATATTCATGCTTACATATAAATTTATTAGTAAATATGAGCATATATAATTTTCTCATAGAAAAATTACCTTGAGAAAGGTAAATAGAATAAATTCTAAAAATATTTCATTCAAATGATCCTAGAGTAATGCTTTTTAAAAGAAAATCACTGTATTTGCAAACAAATTCACCTCAAGTTAACTATCCATTCCAAGTCATGTAATAGCTCAACTTTCTTTTACAAAACAACAGGGAAGAGTGTTGTAAGAGAACTGTGTTCATAAGTGTGTTACCTGTCAAAGTCAGAGTTCAGGCGCTCAAAATTCTTAACTACTCTAAGGACCTGGATCTCCTGACTGATGAAGCTAGGTGGCAGCAATCCATGAATGTTGAGCTGTTGTCTCTCTTCCAGAGTAAATGCCAAGTCCTAGGGGAAAAAAAAAAAAAAAAACGGAAAACAATGATTTGCAGAGGTGAAAAAGATAAATAGCACACAAGTCCACAGACTCTGGGGAGGGGAGAGTCGCTGGGAGCACAGACAGCCACCTGTGCATTAACCATCTGCTTCCTTATCTACAGAACCTAAGATGAGAGTAGGGAATGGACAGGAGGAAAAACACAAAACTGAGAGGCCTGGGAGATAGAGCGCTCAGCCAGTAGAGTGTCTGCTGTGCAAACATGAGGAACGGAGCTGGGAGGCCCAGCACTCCCATAAAAGCCTGGCCTCGTGGCACATGTCTGTAACCAGGGCAATAGGGGAGGGGAGACAGGTGGCCTCCAACTGGCCAGCCAATCAGTGAGCTCCAATGTCAGTGAGAGACCCTGTGTCAAAAAATAAGGTTGAAAGTGATCAAGAAAGACACCTAATCTATCTCTAGCCTCCACATTTACATGTGCACACATGTGCATGCAATTCCACATACACAAACACACACATACAGTATATACACCATATATACATGTGCACACAAAATAATGAAAGACACAATCATTAATGTCAGGAAATAGAAAATGGATAATTATCTATTTTTAAATATGACTAGAAGTAGGTCAGCTAACACCTGTTGTGCTTCCAACTGTGAACTAGGTCAGGAAATAAAGTGCCCGATTCTCAGGGACCTATTCCAACCCTCCATCTCGGGTTATATCCTACTATCCTTATGCAATCTTGGTTACACTGATTTCTCCCCGAGCCCAAATGCAGCACAATTTTATTCTTCCATTCATGGCGTCTTCATCAAGAATGTTCTTGGCACCATGCACTTCGGATATAAGACCTGGTAGACTCAAGCTAGATCTGACTTGAAAGCCTCCTACCTGAGGACTAGCTTTTATAGTATTGGAAGGCACTACACTAGTTTCCAAGAGAGGGAGAAACCAATAATCCTACCCAGGTATAACACTTATAAACCACAACAGTGACCATCAAGGCAAGATATCCCTAAGGGTGAAATAGTGACACACACACCACACACACACATTCCTTGTTAGTAACCAACAGCTCTGTGATTGGATTTAATGCCCACTTAACTGAAGAGAAATCATTTCTGATACTAGAAATCAAGGGCGAGTAAGGTCATGAATCTTCTAGAACCTTCAACTGCCAATTTTACTAAAACACAGTACATCCTAACTGCATATACTCTGGTTTCTCTTTAGATCCTATAAATCTTTCACTTTTTACTAAATATTTATCCTTCTACCCACAGGTAAATGGAGTTCTTACCACCTATCAAAGACACTTTGCTTTGTAACAGATGGAGACTTTTATAGAAACCAGTCAAAATGCAGAGAACAAGTGATCAAAGAATGCCCAGCCCCATCTGATACATCCATAACCCAACTCCTGCACCTAAAGTTCAGAGAGCATCATGGAAGACTGAGATGAATGATGGTTAAGAAACAGGGGACGAGGAAATACGCTGTGAGATTTTTCTCTCCTAAAATGACAAGGAAGTTTCATTCATGACACCTCGACTACTATATGGCTGCCTAAACAAGACATGAACTAGTATACCACTCATGGACATGACAATGTAGAAGGGGGGAAATCTCACATGGTTCCACCCATAAACAAAGAACTACAAGTACCTAAGGAATGTTGAAGGGGAGAGAAATACTCTTCCCTAGGGATGATTCCAATTGGTCATCCTACACTAAATGGTCAGCCCTGGAAGCATATAGATACAACGCTAAATGGACTGAGCAGGTTGTATTTACATATGTAAGCATGTGTGTGGAGTGGAGACAGACACAATTTAAAAAGAGGGCAAGATTTTGAGAGGGAATGAGAGAGGGATGGGGAGGGGGAAATTTATGTAGCTACACTCTAACTTTTAGAAAAAGTCCTTCTGGCCGGGCAGTGGTGACACAAGCCTTTAATCCCAGCACTCATGAGCCAGAGGCTGGTGGATCTCTGAGTTCAAGACAGGCCTGGTCTACAAAGCAAGTTCCAGGACAGCTGAGGCTATTACAAAGAGAAACCCTGTACTGAAAAAAAACAAAATAAACAAACAAACCCCAAGAAAAGAAAGTCCTTTTTACCTGTTTCTCCTTTCAAGACTGACCCCAAGTGCTTGATCCTCTCTAAAGTGTTTCTAGACTTATCTATTTTCCAGACTCATCACCTGTTACTATTCCCATGTCAAACTATCTGTTTAAGTACACATATGTACTATAAAGTAATAGTAATTGTAAAAGGCTACAGAACTCAAGAACAGCAAATAAAATAGAAATAAGGAGTTGATACTAAATGTACCTAAAAGATCTGCTGGCATACACTACAGGAGGTCAAAGCAAAGAGGCCCAGCAGTGGCTAAGAGAACGATCTAGTAGACTAGGATGAGGAATCCTCTCCAGAGGAGTCCCTTCTATTCCAAGACTGGGCTACTGCTTCTTTGGGCCCATTATTAAGTGTTGACATGGCATGATGGATGGTTGGCTGTCTGACCTTAACAACAGGATTAGACTAGGATAAAAGAAACCTCAGAGAACTGTGTGCCCTTCTGCCATGTGAGGACACAAGATGGCTGTCTGTGTAGCAGGAATTGGATCCCCCACCAGATACTGAGTATACTGTCTTGACTTAGGGCTTCCCAGCCTTCAGGAATCAAGAATACATACCTTGTATTTTAAGAAACCAGTCCATGGTGTTTTACCTCTGTATCCCCAAAAGACTAATTAAGGTTGTACCTTGTGACGCTACTGTTTCTTGACAGTCCAATGGACAGAAACACATACACTAAATACACGAATGGTTCTGCAGCCATTCCCTCTGTTCATACAATAAGGGATAATGACTAAATGTTCATACAATGAGAAATAATGCCTCTAGAATCCTGCCATAATAAAAGCTCAATTTATTGCATACACAAAACAGGACATTTTACATATTTAATTTTAGAAACACCAATGTTTTATTTTGTTTTGGTTTGGTTTTTTGAGACAGGGTTTCTCTGTACCTTTGGTGCTTGTCCTGGAATCAGCTCTGTGGACCAGGCTGGCCTCAAATTCACAGAGATCTGCCTGCCTCTGCCTCTCAAATGCTGGGATTAAAAGAGTGGGCCACCACCACCCAGCTAGCACTAACGTTTTTGAGAACTGTAAAATGCTGTTCAGAAAACAAATTAGAATATTCATTCTGGTAAAATTACTTTTAAAATTAAAGCAATCAGAAAGGAACATTTGTTTAAGAATCATCTGTACAATGGAAGACATAATTCAACAGATTTTCAATTGCATATATTCTCACACACACACATATATATAATATATATGTATAATATATGTGTGTGAATATATATGAAGTATATATACCATATATGTGTGAAATATACATGTTATATATGTATGAAGCATATATATTTATATATGTGTGTAATATATATTTTATATGTATAAAACAAGAGAAATTGAATTTTTTTTTAAACTACAAGAAGGAAGGAAGGAGAAAAGAAAGGAGATGTTAGACAAAAAAAAAAAAAATAAATACAAATGTTATAGAGAAACAGTGAAGCACTGAATGTTATACATGGTGACAATGTGCCTGCAAAAATACCAACCAAAATACTGTATTCTGAGAACACAGCTTGTGGTCAGAGGTACTAACATACACTCCTTCACTCAAGTAACAGTGGCACTTAGCTGTCTTTCCTCAGACAATTAGCCAGGCCTTTTACTTATGTTTCCCCCCATCTGGTCTGATGGAACAGACCTCTATACAGTATACCATACACCATGTAAATGAGAATACCATCTGGAAATTTCACCATAGTCTTTGATGTTTAATAATTGCAGATTCCTATACTGTTCGCCAAATATTCACAGACACACTAAAGCACCAACTCATCTGTTTTTAAAAAGTAAAGATTATGGCTTAGAAATCTGGGGAAATGGGCCAAGTTAAAAGGGGAAAAAAATGTTGAGTTCATATCATTTCATGGCCCTTTAGGAGGTGAGAAAAAAATCAGTGATTAAGGAAACTTAAATCTTAGAATTTTAGGAAACTTTAGGAGGATACATGATTTTATTTAACCATAGCTTTTATTTACCATATTACTAGAGGCATCTTTTTTTGGACAATTTTATGGGAACTGATAAACAAGTCAGCCATGTCCAAAACCTGGCAGTGAAATGTTTCAAAGAAGTTGTACACTGATGTTACCCCGCATGGCCTGCACAACACACACTGGCCTCAAGGGCACAGACAGGGTCTAACTTGCGTCTGACTTCGGTCAAATTTGACATGGAGTTGAGAAGGTTAAATGTCCATAAACAGATCAGATTTCCAGACCACCTGCAAGGCTCACCCTCACACTCTAAGTCCAATCTGAGTTTTTACTCCTTTCTTTTTCTTTTCCTCCAAGACTCTTGCACTCCACCCCTAGATAGCAGGTCACTTTGTTTCACTGCAAAGGGCAGCCAACAAACAACTCTTCTGAATTCCAAATAGATTCCTGAGAAAACAAGCCTCTTATATAGAAACCAGAAGTAAATCACTATCATGAGGAGCTTGTATTAGAAGTCTATATGCAAACAACCACTGAAGGAACTGCGGAAGGGATTCATTGATTGACCAGAAACATCAGAAAACAAATGCATTTTGTTTCTTCAATGACCGTCTTTAATGTTCCCAGAGAACTTGTGTGGTTTGGATCCACTTGTCTCAGAATTATAACTAAAACTAAACCAAGCTGAACTGCAAAAAATTTAACCCACAAAACATCTCAAGACAGATAACCTACATAGGATGGTAACTGTAACAGGGCTCGATGTGTTTAACATAACTGAAATGAGAGGGCATAATTAGTTATGTTTGTTTATCTAGTGTCTAGAATACTTCTTGACACTTAACAGTTAACCCACAAACTGTGAATTAACTCAACCATTTTCTGTAACTAGACACTATTTTTTATTTCACAGAAAAGA